ATGCATCTTTTCTTCCACCAAATGGTTCTAGTAAATGTTGAAATATTGGGACCATACAAAATTAGATTCCCCTAATATTAATACCAATTAAAGGCTTTACCTTTTATTTCGCTTTTTATCCCTTGAAAAGAAAATCAAAAACAACAAATAGTAAGATTAATCATTTTGTAATAAATCTGAAGTAATCACCTCACATAGAGAGGGTCTAAAACTTTACATACATTTACAAAACCACATTCTATTGTAGCAACGGTCAAATATAGCAAAAAAATAAATAAATTAAGGACTTATTTAATACATTTTATTAATCATCAAGTTACCCATTGTGCTACCTTCAACCCGATGAGCTATTAAAAGCCATTTATAGTCCTGCTTTCAAATCTCAGAGAAAAAGAGCCAGATGGAAATGAAAAAAAAAAAACACATCTTAAGGGTTCCACGAATAACATTAAATAACCAAGTTTTCAAAAGACATTAAAAGCTTCACATTCAGACTGTCGAAGTCCTTTTTAGGTCAGCTTTAGACATAAATACCATTACAAAGCATTTTGAAATCCCTGTTTCATAACTCCTTTTTTTATTTTTTTTTACCATAACTGTGCCAAAGCTGAATAAAAATGTCTGTTTGTTCCCAAAAAAAAAACCCTCCCCCTCCATACAAGCAATAGGAAAAAGAGTCTCACACTTGTTTTTAGTTACAAATGTATGTAAAACTTTGTTGTGTCTTCTTTGTCTGTTTCGCCAGCAGTATTGTCAGTTTGTTGATTAAGTAACTCATGTGATGCAAAAAGAGTGTTTCCATCACAGTTTTGCAAAATACACCTTTATAAATATGGTCGAAAAACCATCTTATCCTATGGCGCAAAAATCTTTTTATGAAAATTTGTGAATTTTTTCAAAGCTTGCCTATTTCTGTTAGTGAAACTTACTTCTGTATTTGTGCAATTTGATTATGAATGATGCACAACACACAAAGCACCATATAAATATTTTTTTATGTTGATTATTGGGTTACCAAAAGGCTCTCTGGTGTTTAAAACTGCCAAGCGAAAATTATAGATTTTTTGAGAAAAACTGAAGTTTCAAAGTAACTGTAACAGAGAAGTTGTGTGTTATGAAAAGAATTAGAGAGGCAAAGGGAAACATTAGGTTTCTGTTATTCACTTGTATTGCTAACAGCTGTCAGTAGTTCACTGAATACAACTAACAAATCCCACAGGTTTGCCATCTTGCTACCAGAATATCTGAGTTCTTAGTTCCAAAATGATCAAACACTACAATAAAAAAATGTAGTTTTTATCTTTCCTATATTTTTTGATGTGCAAAAAGATTTTTTTTAAAAACAGCAGATTTTCACCAAACAGAACTGAAGCAAAACACTGAACTCTTTAAATGTGACATGAAGTTTCAATCATGTTATGGTTTCCTGGTCAGTGATAACATTTCATTTCATGTTTAAGATTATGGTGCCTTTTAGCCTTCAGGGTTCATAATCTTACTACCCAATGAAAATGAAATTAAATTGCTGACTTAAAAGCTACCTATTCTTCCTGAGGAGGCTGAAGTCCTTTAACATCTGTGGGACCATGCTGAGGATGTTTTATGAGTCTGTTGTTGCTAGCACGCTCTTCTTTGCTGTCACATGCTGGGGCAGTGGGCTGAGGGTCGCTGAAAACAACAGACTGAACAAACTGATCAGGAGGGCCGGTGATGTTGTGGGGGAGCAGCTGGACACCCTGACCACCGTGGCAGAGAGGAGGATGCTGTCCAGGTTTCAGTCCATCTTAGACAATGACTCACATCCTCTCCACGACACACTGGTCCAGCAGACGAGCTCCTTCAGCAGAAGACTCCTCCTACCCAGATGCACCACAGAGCGCCACAGGAAATCATTCCTACCTGTGGTCATCAACCTATATAACGCCTCCCTCAGGTGATTCAGCCCCCCAACCCCCCCCACCCCCTCTGTAATTGACATTTATGCACTACTTTTGCACGCCACGTATCACCTTACTTGGATTTATTCACTTTAATTGGACTTTTCACTCTATTTGGATTTAGGTTTTTACATATACATAGATATACGTACAGATATATATATAGAAGAGCTATATGTGTATATATATTTTATCTCTTTTTATTCTTATTTTTTATCTTTATTATATTGTATAGTTGGATGTGTGTATATATCATGTAAAACTGTAACTAGAGCGTGTAACAAAAGTAATTCCCCTCTGGGATTATTAAAGTATTTCTGATTCTGATTCTGATTCTGATACCTTCATTTCTACAATATCATCTATCAAATTCTAATATTGGAAAAATGAGTAAAAGATCTATATCCATGCTGGGACCAAATGTTGTGTTAAGTAGTTCTGTTCTTTATTTTCCCCCCTTCTTAAAAACATATATATTAGCAAGATGGCTGAAAGTACATACTGAGCTTAGAATGGAATAGAACAGCATGTTCTGATTATTTGAAATTCTAAAATGAATGTTCTTCAGTTAGCTGGTGCACTTCACTTTGGCTCTTTTATCTTAATTGGTCAGGCATGTCAAGGTGTGCATAAAACTCAACCTGGTGAGTCTAGCAAGAGTAGACAACAGTTGCTCTTTGTAATAAATTCCTTTGATTTTTATGTATATAAAAAGCAAGCAAGATTCACACCAGCTGCAGGCCTCCCATGGTTTTCATTCACACAGAAATATGAGCGGTTAAGGAAATGAAGCCGATACAACATTCATTGCTCCAGTTATACCAGCAGGGATCCAGATGGGAGTTAAACTATGGTCATCAATAATTAGAATAACTTTCCATTAAATCACGATTTTAGCGGGGCAGGAATTGTTATAAAATAGTGTGAAAAGTCATTAGCCCCTTTTTTAATGAGGACATTTTATAGATTTTTTTCCTATTATTTTATAGTAAGAATGGTCAGAATTGGATCTCAGCAATTTTAAACAGGCAGATTAAGTTTTTCATGTACAGTAACAAATACAAATGACAGGTTCTAGATATTAGGAAACATTTCCATTTCGGATCTAAGCTATGTTTACTTTTGTTTTGTGAGTACCTTATTTTTAAACTCTCATAAAAATCTATTTTTCTGAATCAAATAATGCACCTGAAAGTGGATACACTTTCTTGAGATGCTTGGTTGATGTATTGCATTCAGATTTATTATGGAAGTATGCTTAGCAACAGAATGCAAATTATTTTAAATAAATATACATCTTTACCCTCTTTGGGAAATAAGCTTAGTTCTGTGCTACCCTGCTTACAATGCCTTGTTGGCCAATTACCAATAAAACTTGTAATAATTAAAATGTTAAAGTCATGGAGGGGAGATCCAGGTCATGAAAAAGAAAAATTATATTTTACATTTCTATTTTCAGCATTTTATCGAATTGCATTTTTGCATTTTTCAAATTGTCAGATTCTACTATGCAATACATTAAACAACAGAGCCATAATTTTATTGGGGAAATGAATTACATTGTTGTGAAAGGATGACATCTATTTAACAACAAAATAATTATTACTTTTCACGGCCAATTAAAACTAAAACAAAAGTCAGTGCTTAAAAAACACAATCAGGCAATATGCATATGTTCTGTGTTTAAATAACCTGTAAACTACAATATGTTAAGAAAAATTTAAAAAACACAGATTTTTTTCTTTTACTCCACTGAACTGTTTGAGTTTTGAATAGCTCTGATCTTCCAGTAAAACTGTACAGATTCCCAATTAAATTTGTATTATTAAAGCAACTTATTTTTTATTTTAGTATTCTGACTGTTCATAGTAAAAAAAAAAATTTGCATTTAATTTTGCATTTTTTCCTATAAAACACCATAGTATAGTTTTCTCCTCTTTGGTTCCAGTAAATTACAACTATCCCACATTTTATTGGACAGAAATATTGTAAATACAACTTATCTGAAAAAAACTACAGTATATCTACCTTATCTGTCAGAAAATAGATCAAAGAAATATGCTGATGAAGATTCTCAGTCATCCAGGTAAAGTTTTTAAACTTTTACGGGAGATCCAAGAAATATTTATAATTTTATGGTGTTTTTTCACTCTTAAAAAAATAAAAGTGAGTTATAACAAATTATTGGTTTCTCCTCTTTAAACTAGAAGCACTAAAAGCAAATGGAAGCTATTTTATGTCTACAGTTTGTGAGGACAAGGCCTATTGTCTGAGCAGGGGCCATAGTCATAGCATAGTCAGATGTGGCACAGGGTGTCGTCTGAGGTTGTGTCCATTCTAATATAGGGTTCTTTTTGTGCCATATTTAAACTTTGCTTCAAAGCTGTTTATTTTATACTGCTGGTTTAATTAAATTGTCTTATATTTTAGGCTATGTAAAGTTTGGTTGTCTCTATCTGTGATCAGTTATATCTTGCAAAATCATCACTTTGGAGTTAATAGCTTGATTATATAGAGAAATTTCTTGCAATTAGGTCAATGATTTCTAAATATCAGTTACAAGTATCAATTTAAATGATTGACATCTGCTAGAGTTCAATTCAAACCATATCCACAGCTGATTTAAATATAATAATTACTGGTTAATTAGGATAATCAGGGTCTTTCATACCTCACAATTTGAATAATGATTAAAAACTAGTATCCATTAATTACCATTGTTCAAATATCTTATTATGGTTATCATACCTGCCTTTGACTGACTGAGACCCATCAAACTACTCCAATATCCTGCACTACTGCAAGCTTCGTCCTAGTGATGATGTCATTTTATCCTAGATTCAAGAACACAATTGTTTTCGGAAGGCAAAAACCAGCAGCCTAGAGGTAACAACATAAAATACAGGAATAAAATATATTCAACAGCTAAGGCTGGAGTCTTAGTCGTGGTCGGTTGGGCTTTGGACCTACTAAATACGCTTTTACTATCCTAACATGTCTTGTCTTTTACAGGCACGATGTAAAGGGTAGAAGTTGTTTTTTTTTTGACTGCCATACACTGACCTGGTTGTTGGGATCTGGTGGATGTGATTTAAAATGGAGATTAGCAGTAGTAGCTGGTTGAGTCTGTAAACTTGCTGCACTTTTATGTTGCGACCTGACACCCTTACTGCTTTCAATACATTCATCAAAGTTGCTCTTCCACACCAATACCTATAAAAAACACCAAAAGCATATCATAAATAAATAAAACAGCAGGCTGAAATTTATTAATTAGGGAAAAACAGCTTGGTATAAACTTTCTGATATTTACTGTCTATTAGTTAAGCTGTATGCACCATAGCATTATACATAAGAAGAATAAACCTTCACCTGTTCATCAGAGCCTCCAGATGAAAAGTAATCCCCTGTTCTAGAAAAGGCCACACATGTGACTGGACCCTGGATTAGAGAAAACCCAAACAGAATATAAAAGTGAGGTGATACAGCAGATAAATGATACTTATCTTGAATAAAACTGTGGCAGATTACGAAAGATAAGCTAATTGAATTAGTGAATTTTGAATTACCACAATATAAACTTAATACAATTGAATTTACACAGCAAAAGAAAACGGATAACCAAAACAATACTTTATATAATATTATTTATATTTTTAAGTCTATTTAATATTTTGCCCATACAGTGGCTCTAAAAAAATATGAATTTATTCACTGAAAATTGCTACAGTCAAGAAACACTTTGAAATAAGTTTAAAAGAAAAGATGATTAATGCAGAAATGAGAAAAAAAAAACATTTATAAGACAGAAAAAAATAACAGTTTAAGAATGATTTAAAGATCACAAGACCAGTAATATTCAAGAGTTTATATTTGGGTGGTACGTTAACAAATTCTGGTTCATGTTTATTTTCTTAGTCCAATTCACTATTCTATTCTAAGAGCACGTTAAATCCAGTTTAAAACCAGAGCTTGTTTTTATACATAACTTAATTTTATTTAAAGCTAAAAAGAAAGGAGATGAGAACAGAAGCTCCAGAGTGGGAGTATGCATGTGAGCATGTGGGTGTTTAGAGGATTGGTTGATGTGATGGGCTTACAGCTAAGCTATTAATATATTCATATAATAATTCAACTAAAAAACACAGACTAATATTGGTTGAGGTCACATATGTTCAAAGCAAAAAAAGAAACTGAAACAGCAGTTTTAAAACTAATTCATCACTTTTTTTCCTTCTTCTACTTCTCTCTCTTCTTTTTCTTCTTTCTCTACTTTTCAAACCATTTTGTCTTTAGAGGAATAAAAAAGATGGAAAAAGACATGATCAAGAAGGCTGTTGTATAAAGAAGGAGCAATGTCCTGCAGCTGGCACCCAGATAGGTTGGTTTAGTCTAGGATGGTTTCCCAGAAGCACCTGAGAGAAGCAGACAGTAGCGCCATGGCAACGCAGCAGTCTGACAGACAGCATGTTCTGTCTCTACTCTGACTAATGCATGCTGCCAGGCTGGCACTCACCACTGACAGACACCCCCCCACACACACACAAGTAAAGAACCTAAACGGCCTATTTTGTCCTCCGATACAAGGGCAAATATTACAAAAACCAGAGAGGACCCACATGGTCCAGTCTAAAACGACACAAATATAATTACATACAGTTTTTGCTCCATTCGATTTCTCAGAAATTCCTAAATTAGTCGGAGCAAAGAGAAAACTATAAAACTTTATACTCTTTTACTCTTAAAGTCGATTAAACAGCATGTCAGCCGTATCTTGAATTAAAAGAGATGGCTTCTCATTTTCTAAATAATTTGCACTGGTTGTTAAAAGGCCGACAAACTCTTATAGCAAAGCCTTCATAGACTTCATTTGTTTTTTGAGCAAATCTTTTTCTTTCTCTGCAGCCAATTTAAGGAGCGCAGTTAGATTCTGCACTGCTGTCTTTCCATCTCCTCTACTGCTGAATGGTGTTTCTTTATAGATGATAATACATAGTATGTACTGTCACATACACTAATCCGCTTTACTCCTTAGAAGCAACAGTTTCCAAGCCGACAGACTAACACTTAGCAAGCAGTCTGAAATCAAGTTTTTTTTTTTTTTTCTCAAATGTGTGCTTCTCTTGTCTGCTGTTTGAGCATTATTAGCTCGAGTCATGCTTTGAATGGTCTAAGGTTAATTATAGACCGTACTGCATATACAAACGCTGAGTAACACAACCGTCAGCAAAGAGTGTTTTAACACCAGCTGCATATTGTAATTTGTTCCATAGTCACAGGCTCCATGATTCTATGGCTTTACAGTAGGTCGTTCTTTGTTGTTTGAGTTATTAAAAGTTGTTGTGAATGCTAATTTAAAAGGATGATGAGCTGATTAATACTAAAAAAAAAACATTTTATATTCTGTGGTAAAGAAAGGTTACATAAACCTCAAACTTTTTAATAGCATTTCCAGGTTACTTACAATAAAAACGTAAAGTTACTAATAATATTGATGAATGTGATGCATAATCAGCTGCAATTAAACTTAATTTTCTTTACTCATCATTGATACGATCCCACTTTGAGCATTTTGATCAACCAATTCTAGATTTGGGCAGAAGGACAGTAAAAGACATTATTCATTCACCAGGTGAGGATGCATGCACTTTGAAAAGCATGCTACAATTGGATTAGAAACATTTAGCTGTTTGTAACATTGCCATATTACAACAGAGTATTAGGGGCCAGCCTAGAGTTCTTTTTTTGTTTTTTAATACAAGAATTAAGTCATAGTATTATGAGAATATAGTCGTAATATTATTAGAATAAAGTCATAATATTACAACAATAAAATTGTAACATTACGAGAATAACTTCATAAAATTACAAGAATAAAGCTGAAAAGTTACGAGAATGAGGTCATCATACAACCCGTTTCAGAAAGAAAGCTTCGAGCGCCAATCAGCATATGACGGCCGACCAGCACCACCAAAAAACAACTTGAGTCCATTTTGACACACTGCCCAATTTGATGCTGGTGTGCTAAAAGATTTCCTTATTTGTCAAACTGATGCCAAACTGAGAACTTCACATGATGCTCAATATTTCTCATTTTAGGGAAGAAAATGCTTCTTGTAAGAGTTGTTATAATATTCATCTTTATTCTTGTAATATTAGGATGTTATTCTCATAATATAACAACTTTATTCTCGTAATGTTGCGACTTTACACTTTTAATTTTATTACTTTATTCTTGTAATGTTATGAGAATAATATCGTAATGTTGTGACTTTATTCTGGTAATTTTATAACTTTATTCTCATAATATTACAACTTTATTCTCATAATGTTATGGGAATAATATATTAATGTTGTGACTTTATTCTTGTTATTTTATAACTTTATTTTAATAATATTACAACTTTATTCTGGAATAAAAAAAAAAAATCTCAATCTAAATTTTGTGAATAGATTTTTTCGTGAATCAGAGGTCTAAACAAGTTCACTTTAAGTCCGGCCAGGGGACATTCTTCCAAGACTGGGGAAGCAGCACACTGATTAAATTCAATAGCAAATCACTAACATGTTTTGTTAACATGTAATGTGGTGTCTGGATGCATGTGTACATGCATCCAGACACCACATTACCTAGACACCCACGCTAAACAGACGGGGATCTCTCCCGATCTCTCGATCTGCAGCAGGAGAAACAATTAGTGCTCAGAGTGGTCCCAGCACAAACAGATTGGTGGTGTCACCACAGAGCCTTGCTCAACAACAGAAACTGAGACAAACTACAGGAGATAACAAGTCTGGAGGTGAGAGGAGGAAACAAAAAAAGCCTTTTCTTCATCTCAGCTAAGAATGAACCTTGGCAATTGATTGTAAAGAAACACTGGAGACAAAAACAAAACGAAAGACGGGCAAAGTGTGTGTGTGTGTGGGGGGGATAGATAAACAGATGGACCACATGTGGTACTGGCAAGCCACGGATTTCAACAACCAGCCAGCGAGCCAGTCCATCAGCTGTTCAAACAAACAGACACAGTCAGCGCGCCGTCGGGACAGCTACTGCAGGCAGCTAGAATGTGAGTCCATCACATGTGGGACAGGAAGAGGCAGGAAGCCCCAAAGGAAAGACAGGAACATTACAAAGGTGGAAAAGTGAGAAAGAGAGTTCTCCTGATGTTTAAAAAATGCATCGGGACAAATCCAGAAAAGAAGGAGAGGGAAGGGAGAGGATCCGGAGAAACGTGGGCAGAAACACTTCTGTCTCCTTCCAAACAACCATCAGATGAGTCATCCTGAGTGGGCTGCCTGCTTGCCAGGCAAGTACTAAAATACAAATACAAAAAAGGCCTCAGACGCACACACTTTTTTTTTTTTGCATACAGACCTAAACAGAGCTCAACACCAATAATGGAGATGTCAAAAGCCACCTATAGTGTTTCTTTACAAAAATCCTGCAAATCTCAACAGGTAACAACTGGACATGCTGGACGCCCATGCAGAGAAGGTGTGTGTGGGTTTTTTTATGTCTACCTGGTGTCCATGCAGTGTATACAACAGCTTTCCCTCCAACAGGTCCAGGATTTTCAATGTGGAATCGCTGGATGCGGTTATAAGGAAATTACCAGCAGGATGGAAAGATAGACTGTTTACAGCTCCACTGTGGACTGGAAGAGACAAAACAACATGGATCTATCAGCTGGACTTCAGTGCACGTCAGCAGCCCTGCTTTTATTTTAAATTCAACCCAAATCAAAAGAACATGATGATATAAGATTCCTATAATACAAGGCATGATGATAAAAATCCAAAACTATAGTTTTTCAATCGCTGAGCAGCTTTGAATAGCAGTTCTGAACCTTTTAAAACTTAAAGAAAACACAAATTAACCAGAAGCACCAAAAATCTACTGTAGCATATGCTATAATTAATTTGCAGTGTAAATTAGGTGTAGTGTAGTGGCTTTTTTTTCAGTTGGTCCTGTTTCTCTGACTGTGACTAAATGGATGTGCATGTGGACATTTGGAGGAAGCCTAGAGAGAACCACAGCCTGATTTGGGAAGATGACACATTTAATGCAGAGAGTTCCTAGGTCAGGATTCGAACCCACCTGCACCAGCCTGCAGACTATATTAATGATGTAAATGTCATATATGGTAATGGTCTGTCATCCTTGCTCCTAGTTACATATTGCAATAGAGCATCTTTAGATTTGAACTAAAAATGTAACCATTAAAGATCAGGTCAGGCATTTTATTTTTACTATCTTTGCTCACACACCTCAGCAGAGCAGATGTTTGAAACGTAAGAGCAAAACTGCAGAGCTGAACCATGTGCCACGTGCTGTTTAGAAGAAAATGCTTCACTTCTTAGTTACAATATAAACATAGTGTAATGTCAAGCTTCAGAGCAAAAATATTAGAACTCCTCCTGAGTTAAAAGAACCTCTTTTATGTTTAAAACGTTGTTCAATCAAACACAAAAAAAAACATTGAAAAGCTATGGCTCCATCTGCTGGATGAACTTGACTGGGACATAAAGACACTTCTAGGTGGAAAATAAAGGCTTAGGTTAGATAAAGGAAAGACCTGTTGTATTCTGAAGAATATGTTCATATGGTGAAAAAATTATTCTATACCTGAATAAACACTGTCTGCCAACACCGCACAGCTACATGTTGCTAATATGAACCACACAATAATCCAACCTGCTTCCAAAAATCCATGTAACAAGTTTCCACAGAAATCGACCCCATTTAGCAAAAAATTGTTACACATATTATGTGAAATAACATCATATTTAAAATAAGGGGATATGGAGGAGCTTTTATCGTAATGCTCAATCTCCACAGACAGAAGTGATTATCCATTATTAGATCTCCCAACTGAATCCATTTAGACGGGCTGATTACGGTAATCAGATCAAAATACCTTCCAACCTAATCAGGAGTTTCCAACTGGAGATGTAGCATAGGACTGATGGAAAGCAATTTTAGAACTATAAATGAACAAAAGAAGCCCTTATTTAAAATTTTTTCAAGATACATTTAAAGTAAAACATACCGATGACTTATGAAGTGGGGAAAAAAGTTAGATTTTCTCCCTCTCAAGCACTAAAAACGTAGGAGTGTAGTATGCAGATAAGGGAAAAAATTTATCGATAGATAATAGTTAAGTAAAATATATATCAGCATATCTTCTTTCTAAGACTAATTAAACATTTTCTTATCTTTTTACCTAAAATTGTACAGTAGATTTCAATATCTCAAAACAAAGAACTGATATTTAAACAGGACTCACAATATTTACTAACCCCGCATGTTGCATAAGAGGACTTTAAAAAGGATAAATCAGAACAGTGTTACCATAACAACTCCAGCTTCCTAAATCTACTGATATTAAAGTTTATGTTGCAGCTGCCCGAGTAAATGACCTATTATACTATAGAGGTTTCATGCCTTCATGAACAAGCTCCTTAAGCAACTAAATGATACAGAAAAACTGATGCAATAAAAAAAAAAAAAAGACTTCCACACTGAAGGTTGTTCAGTGTGGAAATCTGTGAGGGGGGTGGGGGGGTGGGGTTGTGTTACCTGGATAATGTTGAAGCATCTTGTGAGATCTGATGTCCCAGACCTTAACAGAGTGGTCAGTACTTGCTGCAGCAATGCATGTCCCGCTTGGGTGAAAGTCTACATAGTTGGCATAACTTCGGAGAAAAGGGAAAAATAAATTTAAAAATCAGTTTATAATAGGGAGGCAGAATCTCTATTCTGTATTTCTAAAATACAAAAACAACAAAAATACACATTTTACACAAAAACAGACAGCAAAAAAATACTAAAATTTTTCTTTAATTTTCACTGCTTAAAACGCTTACCCAGCATGCTCAGAGAAAGAATGAATACATTCTCTACTGTTTTTGTCCCACAGTTTTATGGATTTATCGTCACTGGACGATACAATCAAACGATCATCTGGAGAAAACCTACAAAGAAAATTCAGGCGAGTCATGTGGTAGTTTTATATCTGTGCATAAAGAGATATAAAAATATTACTAAATCAAATTATTTAAACAGAAAATTATATCCAACTAGAAAAATATAAAAAGGATATTTTATATGGTTAAAAAATATGTTTCCTACTTTGCACAGCGAACCCAGTTCATGTGTTGGCTGAGGGAGAACAGGAACTTCTGCCTATGGACTGTCCACAGTTTGATGGTCTTGTCATCAGAGGCTGTCACCAGAGTTTGTCCATCAGCAGAGAAGTTAACACAGCGCACAGTGGCAGTGTGAGCCCTGAATACTGTTGACTCTGCCTTCCTTTGGACACACAGCACATCACTCAAATGTAAAGCAGTCAGAGGGTAAGGCTGGAGATTAATTCAATAAATATATATTTATATACATAATGTTATTCAAAACAGTGATGTGGCTTTTAAATGCATTTCTGGTATTATGATATACATTAAAGTCTATGATTACAGCCTTTGCACACATTTATCTGTTATCTGAGTGATTACATTCACTACAGACACAGAGATTGTGGCTGCAGTGGTAGGGGTTTTTTTTTTTTTACATTTATGCTTTTTTTTTTTTAAATGTTATGCTCCTTTTAATTTAAATTTTTTAATGCTTTTTTGGAACTTCACATACTCTTTTTATATTGTCTTTTTTTTTGTTTTTTTTTCTTATCTTTAATGGCATTTTACTTTAACTCTTTGTACTCTATATAAGCTACTGGAACCAGCATTTCTCTGAAGAAGTAATCCCAAGGGATAAATAAAGCTGAGTCTAAGTTCAAGGTTAAGCTTCAAAAGGGCGAGTTTTAGCGACAAAATTAGTGAGCATGATAAGACCAAATGTCTCCGTTTTGGATGACCTGTATCCAGCCACAGTCAGAGTAAAAGGGGTAAGTATGATAAAGGTTTAAACACTAAAAGAGTTACTATAGTTGTCAATATTAGCAGAGCTCAGGTAAAAAAAAAAAAAGGATTTGGGTTGGGGATGTAACAGGAAATCTTACATGTTGGGCACCCAAAGGCGTACAGTTTTGTCTCTAGAAGATGAGGCCACCAGGTGGCCAGATGGAGAAAACTGAACAGAAGTGACGGCTTCTTTGTGCCCATCAAAGCGATACGCTCGCATCTGAGGCTTCATGTTCCAGATCATCACACAAGAATCCACAGAGCCTGTAGCTGGGAGAGGGGGAAGAAAACTTGAATGATTTTTGCAAGACCGCAGGGAACTGTACAATAAAATAAAATACAAGGAAAAGTGGGGAATACATGAAAATAGTCTGAAACATGGATAAGGTTTTACCAATCTGTTTCATGTTGCAGCTGAAGTCCACACTTGTCACAGTGTGCCGATGACCCTTAAAATGTCTCTCGAGCGTTGGATCCAACTATGTGAACAACCAAAGAGAAACATCTGTTTAGTGACAGTATAGTACCAATGTTAAATAAGCAACTATCACAGCTAAATAACTTAATCTAAAAAACAAACATTTTTCTGTATTTACAAAGGTAAAAAGATCCCAAAATCTCAAGAGTTGAAAGGAGTGATGTGATATATAGGAAGCTGTAGTTTTTTTAGGGTAGTGGACAGATCCTCTTAGAAATAGCTACATTAAATTGAAAACATACTGTATGAGAGCTTCAATGAACAGTCAGAACATGAATATTTTGAATGTCAAATAATAATAATAGCAAAGAAGATCAATCATTTTGCATCAAAACTTATTCAAAGCCATACAAATCTCACAGTTCTTGCATTTCCTGCAACAGCCTGACAATAACTGTCATTCGAAAACCTGAAAGAGTGTGTTCCTATATTATAACTCCTGCAATAATTAGTGTGTGCGGTATATAATTAGAGAAACTGAACAACCCAAAAGAGAACCAGTGACCTGTCTAAGGTGTACCCCGCCGGAGATAGGCACCAGCACCCCTCGCGAACCCGCGTGGGAAAAAGCATGCAGGATGGATGGATGGATGGATGGATGGATGGATGGATGGATGGATGGATGGATGGATGGATGGATGGATGGATGGATGGATGGATGGATGGATGGATGGATGGATGGATGGATGGATGAAGGAATTCTAGAGATGTGGTCAAATGATATTACTCAAACAGAAAGCATAGTCAAAACAGGTCACAACAGGTTTGGAAAAGTAAAATCCATGGCTACCTGTCTTTAAAAGTCATCTATGAAGTAAATAAGAGTCAATCTGTGTAAAATTTATTCTTAGTATAAATTAATCTTCAACTATTTAGCAATTGAAAAAGTGTAAACTGAAATATACAGCCCTATGCAGATCAAATGTTAGTAAAGCCATTTTATTGAGACTCAGAATCAGAGATACTTTAATAATCCCAAAGGGAAATGACTTCAAGAGACTCCACAAAGGCATGTGATCTCTTCATTTTAGATAAATGAAAATCACTGACTGCCTACTTTGATAAGGCTGGAAATGTATTTTTTAATACTGCTTTTCGAATTATTTGCTAAATGAAAAGATTCACATTAGGGCTGAAACAATTGGTGGTATTAATCGTGATTAATCGATTATTGAAAAAAATCATCAACTAATGTAGAAAGCGATTAATCCTTAACTGGAGAGTAGAGACTCTAAAACGTCTCTTTAGCTGATACAGCAACCCACATTGAGCAGTAATTATACCAAAATTGTAGAAAAAAAAAAAAAAAGTAAACATTTTGCATTTATGATTAAAAAAAAACTTTTTCGTCAGTCAATATTCTCTATCCAAAACATCTTAAGTGGAAAAAATTTAGTTAAACCTGGTTTAATTTGATAAAAAATATAAGAAATCTTCATTAAGAAACATTTTGATATACGATTATTAATCAATTAATCGAAAAAATAATCAACAAATTAATCGATTAGTAAAATAATTTTTAGTTGAAGCCCTACTTCACATATATTTGGGGGGTGTGGGTGTTTGTTTTGTTTCTATATTACCACAGACTCTTGGAACTCAGGAATTGTGTGCAAGAGCATTTATGCAAAGCAGTTTTTTAGCTGATCATAAAGCAAAACATCCCAGGTAAATAAAATGCTAAAATATGGGGATAATTATTTTATAATGATATTGTACAATGTACTTAATTAATTAATCACGTTTAACTTGTGTAATGCTCACTGTGTGGCACTATTTTACGATGGTCTCAAGGCTCATTGTCTTGCTTATTTTAGAGAGACAAATACATTTATCGTTAGTCAGAATGATGTAGGCTAATTTACAAATGTAAATGGTTTACATCCCAACCACCGTCAAAAAAAACTATGGATAACAGCACAAAACCTTAACTTTTACTTTTGTCACTTATTTATGTAACAACAACACCTGTCAATTTATTTATGATTTCATTAACACTTATACTGAAATACTAAATGATATCTATATATAAAAAAAATGTTGATCTCCAACTGTCTTCAAACAATTAAAGTAAAACCTAAAAGAAAAGAATGGGTAGCTTTACAGACTGTACTGTATTGTATGTAATTGTATTTTTTTATTTTCAAGCAGGCGCTCTGAGACAGCCTGGGTTACCATGGAGACGTGTTCTGTGCTGCTATCGCGAGCCTCCTGCTTAGCCGTTGAGCCAGAGCTAGCAGTGAGGTTAGCCGTTGTTCGGAACTGAACCGCATGCCCGGGTTAAAGCGGACAGCTTTGAAATGGCAGAGCTTCACATCATAGGCCAGATCATCGGGGCCAGCGGTTTCCCGCAAAATAGTCTATTTTGTAAATGGGGTGTTCACACGGGAGGAGCATGGCGTCTTCTCTCCGGGTTAAAGGAAGGACAGACTCAAGTGGACTTTCCTCAAACTGGAGACATGGCTTACTGGAGTCACCCGATTGATCTACTCTACGCAACCAAAGGTCTCCAAGGCTGGCCCAAGCTCCACCTGCAGGTGTGGCACCAGGACTCTTTCGGTCGCTGCCAGCTGTACGGGTACGGCTACTGCCACGTCCCCTCCAGTCCGGGACATCACAGGATAAGCTGCGTGACCTGGAGGCCTCTCGGTTCATGGCAAGAGCAGCTAGCGCAAATGTTTGTCGGCGGTGGACCCCAGCTCCGCAACCCGGACCTGATCTACAGCGGGGCTGACAGATACAGACTGCACACCGAAACCATGGGGACTGTGGAGCTGGAGCTGGGAGTTATAATGAGACACTTTGACAAATATGGCGTCGAGAGCTGAAACTTGAACAAACTTCTAAACATGGATTTTATATCGAGTATACTGAATAAGCAAAGAGACAATTAAAAGAACATCTGAAAGTTTTGTATTTTTTTTTTTTATAAATCCCTTTCACGTTTTTTACTCAAGTTACACCTGTGTTAAACTATAGTGAATATTTAATAAATCTGGTTTTATATCTTTCAATATTCATTTTGATGTAATATTTTATGGCCTACATGGAGCCATATTGGAAAAGTTTAATTATTTGGCATCCACACTGAGTTCCTCTTTAGCAAACACCCCTACCTTTAATGCAACTACAAACTTCCACAAATATTTTGTGCTTTCTGTTAAATATTTTAACAAAATAAAAAGTCAAAATACTTTTGGCTTAATATCTCAAAATATTTTACAGCTGCAACTAAACTGGACATCTGATCAGAACTAAATGCATTATTCAGCTCATCATCCACATGTGCATCTCAAAGCAGCAAATCTTTTGTCTTTAGAGAAATATAGAGTATGCCGTTAACATTTTCCCCAAACAAATAATTTTAAAATTGAACTTTTAGTTTACTAACAGTCATAAAAGCTAAAAAGCTCAAGGTACTGTGTACTATTGTGTAGTATTATGGTCAAACTTCTTTTTTCTTCAAACAACTGAATATGAATAAATAAAATTTACATTTCCATCATGGAAGCTTAAGCAAGATTCTAAATATCTCCTAAAAAGCCATCTGAACTAGTTTAATGTTGGAATTAGAGTAAAAGCGCCACTCTTTAGCTGCATAATACAGGCCAACACAGTCTGCTGTGATTGGCCAATAGCTCCCTGTGTACTTCACAGATGAGAGCAGGTGCAGACTAACAGTCGCAGGTACCCTGACTTCAATCAGGTACTGGGATATGATCCTCAGACACCTTGTGAGACCAAATTCTGCATGATACTGCTAGGCTTCGTACAGCTTAAGTGTGTCGGCAGTTCCTGCATGATTAAGGCATTGATGCTATAGAGTGGGGCTACTCAGAAGGTTGTGGGTTTGATTCCCAGCCTGGAGTCTTTCTACATAGAGTTTGCATGTTCTCCCTGGGCATGCATGGGTTCTCTCCTGATACTCCAGCTTCCTCCCACATTCTCCTTAGGTGTGAATGTGTGCGTGAATGGTTGTTTGTCCTGTTCGTCTCTGTGTTGCCCTGCGATGGACTGGCGACCTGTCCAGCGTGTACCCTGGCTCTCGCCTGTAGAAAGCTGGAGATAGGCACCAGCACCCCTCGCGACCCCACTCGGGATACAGCGTTTTAGAAAATGGATAGATGGATGGATGCTATAGAGTTGCCTGACCTGAATCCAATCAAGAACCTCTGGGACATCTAGAAAGGTCTGTCACACACAAAACTGAGCCTCATTTTGACTTGTCAGTGGACCGGCCTGTGATGTGATTTTCCACTTTATGCTGAGTACGACTCCTAGGTTGAGAACAACATGGAATAATAATGATGACCTGCATTAATCCTTTCTGTGTTACTTGTTTCTCATAAGATTCCGTTGTGTAATGAGCACAAATCCCCAACAGGAATATTTAATTTGGGGATTTAAAACATGTTGTAGTGATTCCTTTGTTTTTTTTTAGCATTACATTTTACTCAGCATTCAGATCAAAAAGCAGGTATAATGGTCATCTCTCTCTCTCTACTTACATGGCCATAGATAATGCTATAATATCCCAAATATGTTTTAATAGACAAGTTACACAAAAATGCATTGCAATACTTTCCAACAACACAGACTGACCAAACCAAAAAATAAAAATAAAAAATGGTGATACATCAGCTGGAAACAGAAAGTTAGTGTATTTTTGTTGTGAACTCATACATTGTTAGATTTCTTGTATATGTCCAAATATATAATACACAAACAAGAACGCTTTTATCATTTCCTTTAGTATTCAAATACAAATAGATTAATGTGTTTACTTCCCTGCCACTTTAATGTTAAACAAGTTTTCACACACCCTAAAAGTCTTTATAACATTACATTTATTTACATAAGTGTAAAGCAGCTAAACTCACCAGTGCAGAAGTCATTTTAACTTATGTTGAAGGCACACGCTTTTTAAGACTTGTGAACGGCTAAATTTTGCTTAAATTTGCTTGACATAAGCAGGACATTTAAAAAACCCGAACCGTAAGCTAACCGATTAGTTAACATTAGCTGAAAGCTAGCCGCTAGTTGCTAACAACAACGCATTCAGTTTCCGCGCCGCGATTGGGCGCTTAGACAGTTGGTCAGAAAGTTTAAAGGGGAAGCACACATAAAAGTGGAAATCTCATTGTAGTTTACACATAATTACGCTTAACAAGTATATTTATTATAACAACAATTCTATAGAACAAAAGATTTTCACGCTATTTTTATCACTTTTTTTCTCAGAAGATAAATAATAAGTTGCATCACAACCGTTTCAAAACGTTGTAACTGCTTATGACCACCAGGTGTCACCATTGGCAAAGGAAAGTTTCTTGAAATTTGGTCCATGTTTTTTATTCCTCTTGACCTCTTTAATGGAAACCTCAGGTCAGTTTTTACAAATGAGGACGTTACATGGATGGAATAAACCAGTAAAAACATATAGTTACACAATATTTCATGAAATACACAGTATTTCCTTTGTTTATTTTTTAACTCTTCACTATTATGTTATTATAAGGTCCATATTTGTGTGACCATTTTCTCTATAAACTTGTAAGCAGCAGAATCTCCCCTTTGTGGGACAATAAAGGGATTTTCTATTCTATTCTATTCTATTCTAATCTATTCTATTCTATTCTATTCTATTATATTATATTCTATTCTGCTCAATATTTCCACACCATAATAATGAGTTTTCTATCTAAATATATTTTAAATGCTAAATACAGTGTATCTGTTATAGCACAAGCTGCTACATATAGTTTGTATTTTATGGGTCATGAATGTCATATAAAACAAGTAGAGAGTCCTAAAGAAATAGAATACGCAGTCACAGAAAATATACTTTTTAAATTCTCAGGTAACTGAATTATTCTTGTTTTTTACGAAACAGACTGTATTGCACACATTTCATTTATAAAATAAAAAAACTATGAATACTAATCCATAGAAAGATAGTCATATAACTGACAGCAGAACAGTGGTCTTGTTTTTGATCTTTGACAAATTAACTAAAAAGCACTAACATGGCCTAGACAGATGTAACATTGTTAAATTACTTTAAGGCTTTCTAACATAATCCTTTTTTTTAAGATAAAAAATAGTGATAACACCAGGTTATAATAATTTTAAGCAAATTTAAATGCAACTATTTATTAAAGACACTCTTAGAGTAAGTTCATGGGTGTTTTCATGCCCATTTTTCAGGAGCTTAGGCTGCAGATTATATATTTTGTGCCCCAGTAGAAGTCCTGAACAAACCTCAGTTAAACGTTGCAACTGTTAAACAACCACTTTCATCTTGTACTATATTTTGAAATGTGGTAGTGTAATGTTTATGTTCCTTCTCAATAGCGACAATAAAACTAGTCCGAGTTAATGGGAAAATTAATGGATCTCAATAAAGGCAAATAATAACAAAAATACCAACTGAGGCTGCAAAAACCATGAGCAAAATTGGATTTTTGGGAAGAAGCTTTTTAAAAAAAAGTATTCCCCGGCATGGCATTAAGGGTATTAGATCCCCTGGGTAGGTCATGTAGGTTACTATAAAGGGACCTCTACAGAACAACATATACTTTACCTAGATCCTCTTGTGGGCTGGTTAAGCTGTAAGGTGGATTGCTCACACAGAAAACAATTCTTGCCACAAATACTGACTTCATAAGTCACACTTTTCACACCGTGTTTATGCGGCTTTACTCTCTGTTATTATGTCGGGTTCCCATTTTTTAAATGTTTTTTTAGAATCCTGTCTCAAAAGTACCCTTCACACTGTCTGTCAACCTAGATCTACTGCTTTACAGAAACTCAAATCTTTTAGTTAAGTCATTATTAGCTTGCTCAAGAGGCAGGAGACACAGGATTTATTTAAACACATTGCTTGGATTGCAGTTGGGGGTATTTTTTTAAAATGGATCATCCAAATCTCATTCTGCTCCACCTACAGATACATAATCAGATGTGATTAAACTTTTTGATTATTCAACCCCCCAGGAATGTTACCCCTACCTCCAAGACACCTATTAATCACCTAACCAGGCTTACATCTGTTTAGTAAATGAAGTAGTTCCCATCAGATGCCTGGAATGCTAATATCACAAACCTGTGCTGAGAAGGAAGTTAGAAGTAATTCAAATGGATTCCTTCCTTATTCAGTATACAGAAGCACATTTTTATTGTATTTTGAGCTCTGTTCGTGAACACATTTCCGTTTTCAGTAGGGGTGAATGATCTAGAAAGTTTTATCTGTAGTTCTTGACTCATTTATGACTGCTGCTCCCAAAAGCCTGCAATCTTATCTCCCCAGTTGAGTTTACTTTCTCTGGTGCTTCTGTGAATTTATTTATCATTACATGAGTTCCTATTATATGCAAAAACTGTTAGGAAATACATATGAAAAAAACACTACACTGAGTTTCTAAAACCACATTTTCCCTCCATGATCCCCTTACATGTTGGAATGTTTTCAAAAGTGTTGTTTTTACATAGTTTTAGCTGAATCCTAGAGTCGCAAAAATGCTGGACAAAAGCAGCAGTTATATTTAGACACAACTATGCGCTTCATGAATGAGGAAATACAAAAGCCTCAGAGTTCAGTCAGCTGGAAATGATTGGGTAAATAGTATAGAGCACTGCTGTAATTTAAAGTTTTCTGTCCTTATCTGGAAAACAAAAAAGACTTGCAAAAAAAAAGAAAAGAAAAGACAGTCAGATGTTCATGTTTTAGAAACTTTCTTTTCATGAAACTCAGAATTTTGATTTGAAGATTTCAAACAAAGATGCATTTGTTAAGATTGTTGCTTTGCAACAGGAAGGTCTTGGGTTCAAATCCCAGCTGCAGCCTGTTTGAGGTTTGCATTTTTTTCCCTCCATGCATGCATGGATTCTCTCACGCTACTGTGGCTTTCTCTACACATCCAACGATATACATGTGTAGAAAACAGCCCACAATAAACTGTCTTTATGATTGCGTGGTTGTTTTACCTCTGTAGTGGCCACAGTTTACCTAATAATTTATTTAAAACAAATTGGTGGCTTTAGCAGTTGAAGAAAATTGTTAGATATTTTATAAAAACAAACAAACAAAAATCTTTTGAGTTTATATAATAAGCTTTATGTTTTAGCCAAAGGATCTACTCAGTAGAGATCAGGGAGGAGTATTACACTTAATGCCTAAAGCTCCTCCTGCGTCCTGTAAATTCCTCCGTCACCTTTATCATGAGTGCCCTCTGTCAGACTCTTATATAAAGTCAAAGTTCACATGAGGAAATAATGAACGCCTTACCTGCCTGACTGTGTATTTATGCACAATTCTCTATTTATACTTTTTGATTTTGTCCACAAATCAGATACATTTATGGCTGTATTAATGATCCATGTTTTCTAAATAATATCCCGGAAGCATTCATTTTGTATTTATATATGTTGTTATAATATTTTCCATGTGGCCTTAAATTTCAGAGCTACACAAGCTTTGGAAATCTAAAAGAGGAATGCAAAAAACTTGCAAAGTCATTGCCACATTTTACAAGCTAAAATAAAGGCTCTCTGTACAGACATGCAGCCGCAGCCAGCTACCATAAAAACACTCATTCTGCTTGATGCTGAATGGATGTAGCTTTAATCTGACTCGCAAAATTTAAATTCATACATTTTTAAACTCAACTAAAACTCCAACCCTTTTTTTATACCATGGTTAAACTATTGTATTTTTGTTATGAATATATGGATCACACCAACTCGCTCAAATACCTAAAACTGATGACACACTAAGCTCCTTCAAATGTAAAATAAAATGCATTATACATTCATATATATCCATTATGTTTAAGAAGAAGAAGTAAAAATGTTCCTTTCCCCTTGTAGGTATTTTACAATATTGCAAGTAGAATGAGGGGAGAACAAACAAGAACAAGGAATAAAATATTCTTATTTGTCGAAGATGGCTCCTGGAATCTTAGGGCCTTAGAATAATCCACAAGGAGAATCTCTTTAACCTTGTTTCTTTCTCAATCCTGCTATTTATGTCGTGAGTCTCGAACTTCTGCTGTTATTTCTAGTTTAGATTAAGGTCACTGATATGCATCTAAGCCGTTTGAATCAACTGCTTTATGCAGATGCAGAAGAATAAAAATTGTGCATGAAGCACCATTTATTTGATCTAGAAGCAAAGTTTTTGGTTTATTTGCATACACTGGATAAGAAATTGTCATAGAGAAGAGACTTCCTTGCCTTTTACACAATACATTAACTAGATCAGACATCATCAAAGATGGTCTATTAGCTATAATGTAGAAAAAAATCCTTCATCTCCAAAACTGACTTTTCATTAAATTACAAAACAAGAATCATCTTTAATTGTCTTGCCAATCATATTTTTGCTTCGAAATGCCTGGTTTAGGTGATTTTTAGTGGAATTACATAGAGATGTGAGGAATGATGAATTGTTTTTTTTTTTATTAAAACAGAACCAGCTAAGGTGGACTTGTCCTCAATAGCAGTCAATGTTACAATGTTAAACTTATTCAGAAAAAATACCAACAAGGTCAGAGTTCTGCTTTATTAATTCTAATTCAAACTGCAGATCAAGATTGTCCATGAAAGATAAAGATCAAAGTAACTTTTTTACCTACTAAGGAGCACAAAGCTAGTGCTAATTATTGTATGTTAAACAATCAAAGTTAACCAAAGAATCGCTCATAAAGTCAACATAGACTTACAAAACTGACAATGTTCTGTTGGTGCTGGTCAAGGGCAATAGCCACCGAAGTTTATTCCCAGGGCCTCCAACCAAGGGCCACAGTGGAGTACTTAACTTCGTACAAATACGACAACTTCAGAATTCTAATATCAATATTGATGATGTGAAGTCTAGGAAAAGCATACTGTTGTTCTGCCCTTTGTTTAGCTTTCTTTTTAAGTCTTTAGTTTCACTGTGATTTTGTGTATTTGTAGTTTTCTGTAAGACCAACCAACATACAGCTAGTTGGTCATAGACTTAGACCCCTCTTGGACCCCTTGGACCCCTCTGCTGTGGATTTTTAAACCGATGGTCATG